ACTACCCCTTCTCCACCCTACATGCCCCATCCTCCAGCATTCCCCCCACCTTTAGTTCATGTCCTTAGGTTGTGCATATAAGTTCTTTGAATTCTCCATTTTCTATTCTTAACCTCCCCGTCTATTTTGTATCTAACATTTATGCTTCTTATTCCTGACCTTTCCCCCATTCTCTCCCTCCTGATAACCCTCCATTTAATCTTCATTTCTGTGATTCTGTTCCTGTTCTAGTTGTTTGCTTGGCTTGTTTTTGTTTTTTAGGTTCAGTTGTTGATAGTTGTGAATTTATTGTCATTTTACTGGTCATAGTTTTTATCTTCTATTTCTTTTTTTAAAATATATTTTATTGATTATGCCATTACAGTTGTTCTATTCCCCCCCTTCATTCCCCTCCACCCTGCACACCCCTCCCCCACCATTCCCTCCCTTTAGTTTATGACCACGTGTCTCAAGTTCTTTAGATTCTATATTTCCCATACTATTCTTGCCCTCCCCCCTATCTATTTTCTACCCACCATCTATGCTAGTTATTCTATGTACCTTCTCCCCCATTCTCCTTCTCCCACTCCCCTGTTGCTAACCCTCCATGTGATCTTCATTTCTATGGTTCACTCCTGATCTAGCTGTCCTCTTAGTTTGCTTTTGTTTTAGGTGTGGTTCTTAATAACTGTGAGTTTGCTGTCCTTTCACTGTTCATCTTTTTTATCTTCTTTTTCTTAGGTAAGTCCCTTTAAAATTTCATATAATAAGGGCTTGGCGATGATGAACTCCTTGAATTTGATCTTATCTGAGAAGCACTTTATCTGCCCTTCCATTCTAAATGAAAGCTTTGCTGGATAGAGCAATCTTGGATGTAGGTCTTTGGATTTCATGATGGAATAGTCCTTTCCAGTCCCTTCTTGCCTGTAAGGTCTCTTTTGAGAAATCAGCTGACAGTCTGATGGGAACTCCTTTGTAGTTGACTGTCCCCTCATCTCTTGCTGCTTCTAGAATTCTCTCCTTCCTTTTAATGTTGACTAATATAATTATGATGTGCCTTGTTCCTCCTTGGGTCCAACTTCTTTGGGACTCTCTGAGCTTCCTGGATTTCCTGGAAGTCTATTTCCTTTGCCAGATTGGGAAAGTTATCTTATTATTTGTTCAAATAAGTTTTCCACTGGTGGCTGTTCCTCTTCCCCTTCTGGTACCCCTATAATTTGGATGTTGGAACGTTTAAAGATGTCCTGGAGGTTCCTAAGTCTCTCCTCATTTTTTTGAATTCTTGTTTCTTCATCCTTTTCTGTTTGGTCATTTTTTTCCTCTTTCTGGTCCACTTCTTTGATTTGAGTCCTAGTTTCCTTTCCATTACTATTGGTTTTCTGTGCATTTCCATTCATTTCAATTAGTTTAGCCCTCATATGTTCCTCTAATTTGTGACTAAAATCAACCAGTTCTGTGAGCATCCTGATCACCAGTGTTTTGAACTGTGCATCTAAAAGTTTGGCTATTTCTTCATCACTTAGATTTATTGGCTCTGGGGCTCTGAGTTGTTCTTGAGCCATGTTTTGATCTGTTTGTGCCTGTTACCTATGAGGAGAGGAGCCTTAGATGTTCACCAGGGCAGGGCCACCCAGGTGGCTGGTTTGTGAAGCTGTATGTGAGGGCGGGGTCAGAGAGGGACAATGGCGGTCCCCTCTGCTGCTTCCTGCCACTGGGGCCTGCACAGTCTGTCTCACTGCTCGCTCCTTTACCAGTTTATTTGTGTGCGAATGTGTGACTGTGGTCAGCCCTCAGTGGGTCCGCCCACTACTCCACACCTGGGATCCACCAATGGCTGCCGGCGTGCCTGGGTTGTGCTCCCGGGTCTGTCTGGTGGATCTTTCCTGCCTGACCCTGCTCTGCTGCTGGCTCTGCCCCTCTTACCGGTTTGGCTGAAGGGTTCGTTGTTGTCAGACTTCCATATAGTTCAATTTTCTGTGGTTTGGCTGTGTTTTTGTTGCTAAAACTTTATTGTTATTAAACTTGGTTGTGTGAGAAGGCACAGTGCTTCCACCTACACCTCCATCTTGGCGAAAGTCTATCTTCTTCTATTTCTTAGATAAGTCCCTTTACCATTTCATATAATAAGGGCTTGGTGCTGATGAACCCCTTTAACTTGACCTTATCTGAGAAGTACTTTATCTGCCCTTCCATTCTAAATGAAAGCTTTGCTGGATAGAGTAATCTTGGATGTGGGTCCTTGCCTTTCATGATTTCAAATACTTCTTTCCAGCCTTTTTTTTGCTTTCTCAAGGTTTCTTTGAGAAATCAGCTGATAGTCTTATGGCAACTCCTTTGTAGGTAACTGTTTCCTTTTCTCGTGCTGATTTTAAGATTCTCTCCTTATCTTTAATCATGGGTAACTTAAATTATTATGTACCTTGGTGTGTTCCAAGGTACCTTGGGTCCAATTTCTTTGGGACTCTCTGAGCTTCCTAGAAATCTATTTCCTTCACCAAATTGGAGAAGTTTTCTTCATTATTTGTTCAAAGAAATTTTCAATTTTTTGTTCTTTTTCTTCTTCTGGCACCCCTATAATTCAGATGTTACAATGTTTAAAGTTGTCCCAGAGGTTCCTGAGCCTCTCATTTTTTTTTTAATTCCTTTTCTTCATTCTCTTCTGGTTGAATATTTATTTCTTCCTTCTGTTCCAAATTGTTGATATGGGTCCTGGTTTCCTTTCCTTCACTGTTGGTTCCCTGTACATTTTGCTTTATTTCACTTTGTGTAGCCTTCATTCCTTCCTTCATTTTGTGACTGAACTCAGTCAATTCTGTGAGCATCTTGATTACCAGTGTTTTGAACTCTGCATCAGATAGGTTGTCTTATCTCCTTGTTGCCTATCTCTTTTTCTGGGGTTTTGATCAATTCTTCCATTTGGGCCATATTTCTTTGTCTTGGTACACCTGTTATGTTGTAAGGGGCAGAGCCTTAGGTATTTGCCACGGCAGAGCAACACAGCTGTGTTGTGGTGCCGTGTGTGGGGGAGGGGTCAGAGAGGGAACAATGCCATTTGCTCACTTTGCTGTAGCTCCACTTTCCAACAAACTCTCTTGTGAGACTGGGAGTTCCTCCTGCTATCTCGACCCCCACCGTATTTTACAGTGAGAGGTTTTGTGGCTTTAGTTTCTTGGTTAGCCAGCCCCGCCTTGCCTGCAGGGTCTGCCACCTTGCTGCTGGTCTTCTCCTCTGGCTGCCCATCTCTGCCCCTCCTGTCTGGATGAATGTTTCTTTAACTCCTTGGTTGTCCAACTTCCACGCAGTTTGATTTTCTGGCAGTTATGGTTGTTTATTATTTTTAAATTTGTTGTTATCCTTCTTTTGGTTTGCAAGGAAGCAAGGCATTTCTATCTACACTTCCATCTTGGTGTAGAACTCTTTTTTGTGATTCTTTTATACACCCTACCAAGATGCTTCTCAGAATGGCTGTCGTGATCTTACTCATGTCAGCAATGTGTGTCATTAGGCCTCTTTGGAAGACTGATATTGAGTACTTTTATTGTCTGAATTTAATACTTTTAAGGTACCATGTTTATAATTGTGAGTGGCTATTTTTCTTTAAATTTTTTGAAAGCTACATTTCTTTGTTAAGTAGAGAGGTTTGAATATTTTCCCATGTTTGTTTGCCAATTACAATTTGTGTTTTGGCAATTGTACATTTTATCAATTTATGAATCGTTGCCTCAGAGTTTTTTACTGAAATAAGGCATACTTAATAAAAATATGAACTCATTGCTCAAAATATTTCTCCCAGGTTACTAACTTGCATTCTGATTAAATTTGAATATTGGGCCATAGAAACCTCATTCTGATTAGGACTAGAGTAGGTTAACCACTCTGATCTGTAGATAAGCATATGTTAATGTTTATCTCCTGAAAAAATGAGAAATTATATTCAGACAGTAGTTATGTGCCAGTACACGAAAGGGCAAGATTTTGAAGAAATTCAGCAGATTTTATAAAAGAAGTATTTCAAGGATGAAAGTGGGGGAATATGTACAGCCAGAACATTCAAGTGTACAGTAGTTAAAACATGGCATTGTGTTTACCTATTATGAATGAAGCAAAATATAAATAGTTGTAGCCTTCTAAGTGCGGATAATCCAGAAAGGGAAACTAGGAATGACATAAACGTCTAAACTCTTTGTGTACTTATAACACAAGTGCTTAATCTTATACACTCCAGAATCCTTGCACTACAAAACAGTCTATACTTTTATAATGGTTAAATGAGCTTCTGTAGTAAAAGGAGCATAATTATAAAACCAGTGGTTTAGACTCAGTCATTTACTTAGAAATAAAATATCAAATTAGTTCAACACTAGCAAAGAAAAAAAATCTGAACAGGAAGTAAGGTGTCCTGATATGTGAAACTTAAGAAGCCAGCATTTTTAAGTCCCTGGCTTTAGTGTGACAGAGATAACATTTGCTTGCAAGTGGAACTAAACAAAGGTCATTGCTACCCTGCACAGATTCTTTCTCATCTGTATTAGTTTGTTATATACTTAGCCAGCCATTTAGAACAGACAATCCACTTTATGCCAATGAGAAGCACCTCAGGATTACAAATGACATACACAGAGATATATTTCAAGCATACGGCTTGTTTGTTTCATTAGTTCAGCTTGACTCAACATTATCATGAGGGACTGTTGTCTATACTTGTAATTTGTTCTGCCCCCAGGCTGGTTAACTTGACTAAGTTAAATCAAGTTTTTTCTTGCTGGGCCATATAGTCTCAGCCCCCTGCTCCAACCCCAAATGGTCTTTGTTCATCCACAGGAATTAGTCTGTTGTATGCTGACTTGGATTACTTCCTAGCATCTCCTGAATAAGTCTGTCTTCTGAAGTTCTTCCTCCTGAGTTAAATTTGCCTTTTCTTTATTTTCCATCTGGGAGTGATGAATTAAACCCCCACCCCCTTCTTTATTTTCCCCAGCTATGCTCTTGTTGATTTTTGCTACTCAATTTTTTTTGTTCACCTTTATTCTGAGTAGGTGTTTGTCCTCATCTTTATTTCCATCGCTAATCAATCATGTGCTACCCATTTAAAATGTGTTCAGCGAATGATAGTTGTCCATTTATCCCCATTTTCTGGCCCCATTTTTCTGCTTTCTGTGATCACATCCCAGCCCATTCTTGCATTGCCATCAGGTGGTAGAGCAGTAGATGAGGGCCAGGGGCTCGCTGGATGATCTTGGCCAAAATACAGCTTTCTTGGCTTTATTTTTTCTGTTTGTTAAAGAGGATTAGATGAGGTAGAACACTGTTTACAAAAGTGGACCTCCAGAATTCCTCTCATCTCTGAGGCACACTCTTTTTCAGTGTGACTTTGTCACTTTTCCTGCCCCTCGAATCTGGGCTGGCCTTGTACTTGCTTAGGCCAGTTGAAAACAACAAAGTGAAACTTGAGGCCTTGCAGCTTCTCCTCTCTCCTTCCTTAATACTGCTATATTAAAAAGCTAAGGCTGGCTCCCTGGAACGCGAGATCACGTTCAGAGAAAGGCCCAGTAGAACATGTCACCAACTGCCAGACAGGCTAGTGAAGCCATCTCAGACCAGATGCAGTCAAGCCCTCAGACCTGGAGCCAAGTGAATGATCACGGGTGAGAGCAGGAGAACCACCCAGCTGAGCCCAACCCAAATGGCTGTCCCCAAAAATTGTGAGCCTTTGGACAGGAGTCTTTTAAGCTTTGGGATGGTTTGTTATGAACAGTTTTAAAATATGGACAAAGATGAGATTATCCTGAAGACATATTCTGATCTAAAATGTTTGATCAAAAGACTCATTAATCCTACATGAGATTTAAATCACTGAGAAATCTCGTAAAACTGAAAAGGATCTTAAAACATCAAACTCCCTGTCTTCTGGTGAAATAATAACAATAACAAAAAATAACAGCAGATGCTTTGTGTGGAGCTCATACTATCTGCAGTTTTTATTGCTAATCCTCACAACACTGCAGCGTATAGATGTCTTTCTCATTCACAGAGATGACATTGAACTTGGAAGACTGGATTTGTTGAACTGGGATGGGAAATTACACTTCAATTCTAAAGCCCATGTCCTCCTAATTTTCTATTTCACTGCCTCTGGTATTATTAACCCCATTTATAAGCAATGAGATTGATACAAGCTTAAAATTACTTTGTCAATTAAAAAGGAGATTGATCATTCAAAAACAATTGATAAATTTTGAAAGTAAACAAGTCTCTGAAGCCATAAAACATGAATTACAGCTTTCATTTCCTTGACAGAAAAATATCAAATATTTCTCAAAATAGTTTCCGCTTCTCTTGCGAAGGGTATCAATTTTTGATGTACCCTGTTTTTGATGTTTTCACCCTTCTTTTTTGTCTCCTCACTCACATTTTTCCCTCCACTTTCATTACTTCCTAGGCTTCTGTACACATACTGTTCTTTCACAGCTGATCTTCCTGTACCGACCCACCCATTTCACCTTATTCTTACTTCTAGGCAGCTAAGCATCCTGATCACTATCAATCCTCTGCTCTTGGTTTCAAGGACCTCTTGCCAAATATTCTCCAAATCCCCCACCCTTATGCTAGTTTTCCTGGTTTAGTCATCAGTGAACCCTAGAACAAATTGTTCAATTACACCAAATCCTGTAAACGTGGACTGTTGCTTGAATTATGAGAGATCAAAGCAGCATAAAGTTTTCATCTCACACAGGAATCCAAACACCTTTTTGTTTCATATTGCTCAGCAGCCAAACACACACAGAAAAGCACAAATGGGGTGCATAGTGTGAAAATTGGATCCCCAGTCAGAGCTTAAACATTGGGTTAATACCACAATGGAAGCTGGATCAGTCTGTCCATGCAAGGACCTTTTCAAAATGTTAAAGTCCCAAGAAAAACTCAGGAAAGTATTGCCCCTTTGTTTCTCTGCTGCAGAAAGCTGATACTTCCAGCTACAGATGTCTTAGGGCTCATCATCTAGGGAAATCTTTAGGACACCGATTGTGAGTTCTCCACCAGGGAGGAGTAGAGGAAAAAAAGCAAAACCCCTGGTCAATGGCTGCCCCAGCAGCTTTTCCGTCCAGGGCCTGGCTCCTCTCCCTGTTGATCTTTTAACAAGATTGTTTTTTGAGAGCCTTTCTGCTGACATCAAAGCTGCTCTTTGGTTCAGCTGACAGCCAAGCTTCAGGAAAGAGCAGGGATTAGAAAAAGCAAGCAGGTGTACGGAAAAATGTGTTCCTTTGAGAGTAGTAAAGTTAAACCATAGAAGGAAGTCTGAGGGGAGGGAAGCTCAGATAAGGAAAGTGATACACTAAAGCAAGCAACAGCACAACAAATCTCTAGAACTCAAAGAGCAGTAGCAAAATAATGGCCCCTGCCTGAAAGCCAAACTAGATAAACAGCCCATTTAACTCTTTGAATGGCTGTGGCTGAGATTGCCCAATCTAGAATAAAAGACAGTCTTTTCTCTCTGTTTTGAATTGAGAATCGTAACCTTCCTGGCCATTTATGCTCACAAAACACACAATCAGAACAGAAGGGAAAAAATAAGCTGTCAAAGTAGCACTAAGGATGTGTAGTTCCCATGCTAGTTCAGATCACAGCAAGTGCTGTCTTACCAATTAATCATTCTACAAAAGGTACTGTAGAAAGTCCAGCTCTCATGCTGGCCAGGTGGCTCAGTTGGTCAGAGCGTTGTCCAGTCCATAAAAAGACTAGGGATTCGATTCCCGGTCAGGGCACATACCTTGGAGGCACGCAAGTTCGATCCAGGCACGACCCCCAGTCAGAGTACATAGGGGAGGAAACCAACCAATGTTTCTCTTTTACACTGATGCTTCTCTCCCTTCCTCTCTCTCAAAAATCAATAAACTACTAAAAAATAAAAATAAAGACTAGCTGTCCACTTCAAGGGGCCAGTTCCAATTTAACTGGCCAGTTCTTCATGCCACTATCAGGGCATTTCTGTCTTCCTGGGCTTCTCTTATCTTTTTAATACCCATTTATTCTTTTTACCCTAACCACCCAGGAAAGCACCCAGCGTCACCTCTGTATCTATCAAATTACGTTGAATTACTTGTCACGTACCTGTTTGGGCCTCTACGCTTTGTCCTGAAGAGTCCCAACCTTCATCTCGTCCTCAGGTGACAAGTGCCCTGTCACGCTACCTGTGCCTGCTGCTTCTCTCTGGATCCATTACATGATTAAAGAGCAACAACTAGAGTAGGATTTATGACTCCGGATTCAAACCGACAGCAGTATGTTTATGGAAGATGAAGGTAATATTCTGTGTTCTATCTAGTACCTTCATGATGCCGCTCAATGTTATGAGAACCCTGCACACTGTAACTGTGCTTTGCTCCTTGAGGAGCAAAATTGGACCTATAATTAAGTGTTTTGTGACAGCCACAGTGCTGGTCGCTTCCACATAAGTTATCTCATTTAATCACCACAGGTGCCTATTGAGGTTGATACTGTTATACTACATTTTACAGTCAGAGAGGTTGTAAAGTGGTGAGTGAAAGAGCTGGGATTCCACCTAGCTTCAGACCCCACTACCCAGCATAATATGTGTTGAGGACAGGTATTGTTTTCCAGAGACCCAACTTGCTTGTCTCTGTACATTTTTCATACCAGTTGTCTTGCCACTAGACTGTCGGTTCACTAAGAATACCAGACCTGCTGAGTACACAGCAAGCAGTGACTAAATATTTGTTGAATAAACCAACAAATAAATAGAAGAGAATTAAAAACTAGAGTTTTTAGCCTTTGCTTCCTACCTATTCCTCCTCATACCGATGCTCAGACATCGTCCACTGAAATTTGTAAGGTAGAGTTAATGCAAACTGACAGCATTATGTACAATAGTCGAGACACGGAAGCAACCCATATGTTCATTGATAGATGAGTACCACAGGAGAAAAAAAGCTGTGGTACATATACACAATGGATTATTACTTGGCCATAAAAAGGAATGAAATCTTACCTTTTGTGACAGCGTGGATGGACCTAGAGGACATTATGCTAAGTGAAATAAGTCAGACAGAGAAAGACAAATACCAAATGATTTCACTTACATGTGGAATCTAAAGAACAAAATAAACTAACAAACAAAATAGAAACAGACTCATAGATACAGAGAACAAACTGACAGTTGCCAAAAGGGAGGGGGATGAAAAAAGCTGAAGGGAATAAGTACAAATTGGCAATTACAAAATAGTCACAGGGATGTAAAGTACAGCATAGGGAATACAGTCAATAATATGGTAATAACTATGTATGGTGCTGGGTGGGTACTAGAAATATTGGGGGAATCACTTTGTAAAGTACATGACTGTCTAACCACTATACTGTACACCTGGAACTAATACAGAATAACATTAAATATAAACTGTAATTGAAAATAAAATAAAATAAAAGGTGTAACAGTGAAAAAAAGGAGGTACGGTCAAATTGGGTGTTAGGGTTCTACAAGTGTAGGGCCGCTGCTCAAAGCTGCAGAACTGGACGTACACACCTGTTGTAAGGGTGTGACCAGCACACCTGTCCGGCAGCTTGGAGCCATAAGTTCTGATGACTAGAAAAGTCAATGATCTGAACATCTTGGATTTATCACTACAGTATATATTTATTTGTATGCATATTTTTATATTTATGTCATATAGTTGTAAATATGGGAAACACAGAGTTTATTCTTCTATTATTATTTATTAATTACTGTATTACTCTCCATACAAACAATTATAAAGCTACGTTTGCCCCAACTTGTATATCGTATCATATCACATGTCATTCATGGCTTCTTTCCTCAGATGCCTACATCCCAACGTTGACCCTCCATCCCATCTGTACTGCTCTACTGCTAGTTTTGTGGAGTCAGGTAACAAGACAGAATTCTACATGTGCATAGCTAGTTTATCTCTCCTTCATTTTTATGAATAAGAATATAGAGCATGTTTTTTTCTTGTATTCAGATAATTTAATGTTAATTCTTAGATCATGCCCTGCAGGAAAAGAAGGCAGAAAGAAGGTCAGTATGGGAGGAGTGCAGGCAGTTGCACAAGGTTGAAAGTAAGTGATGCCCCCAAAGTGTTGTTTCAGGATGAGGTAGAAAGGTCACAGGACTACATTGTCTCCACTGTAATTAAGATGCACAGTTGTTATATTCAAATTAATTCACCCCTGTATCATGCAAACTTGAAGAGGTTAGAAAACCAACTCAAACTCAACATTCTGGAAGTAGCTTTAACTTTAAGGAATTTAATGTTGCAGTATGAGACCCCTTCCCCCATTCCTACACACACACTGACCAAGTCTGTAAGCTAGGAGGAAAGAAAGATAGTTTTTTTCCTCCTAGCTGTTCAGTCTTTGTTTCAGGATACAGGATCCTGAGAAAATACCCTTCGGTCTCCTAAACGCCACCACCATGAATTTACTGCCTCTTCAGGGATCATGGGAATTCAAAAGTCCATTACTTGCAAATCATTGTCCACTGCAGGACTCACTGACTGGGTCAGAGAAAGTCTGGTATGGACATCAGTTAAAGCTCATTAGTTTGGATCACAGTTTGTAGTACATTTTCCAAAAACCTAACCCTTACACTAACCCTTATTCAAAAGGTTGCTGCCTTTTCCAAGTCCTCGCTAGCAAACCAGCCTCACCATGATCATTTAGGTTAAACTGCTTTTCTCTACCTACTGAGCTGACAAACCAACACCTTACTTCATCAGAAATTACTGCAGAATCACACATCAAAGGGATTTACTTTGAACATTTCCTCCTGAATTGTATTAAACATTGTCATTAGAATTATTACCCCACTGAGCAGTTATTCCAAACACACATGATGTTTTCATTTGGTATTTTCTCATCTAGAATAGTTTAGTAAGTTTTATCTTTATATGTACTTATAGTTATTTACCCAAACATACGTTTAGGAAGCCCTCCTAGAATGATTCTGTAACAAAGTCAGTGCTTGAGGTAAAAGGAAGTAATGCCAGCAGCTCACCTACGCGTGTCTGTTCCTCATTCTATAGCTTATTTATGGAATCTTAACATTTGTATAAAAGTTATTTTACTGGTAATGTTATTAGATGTTATTAGTTGCTTTCTTGTTAACTTTCAGATTTTAGTATCTAAATTCTTCTTTCTCAATAACGAGCAAAGTTTGTGATCATTGTTCATAATATATGAACATATTTGTTTAGTCATAATATATGTTTTGTCATAAAATCTCAATGCGTCTTTAGACAAAAGGCCTAAATAAAGCTCTGTTACACAATAAAAATGATAACGTGACATTGGAGGCTATTATGTACTTTAAACGAATATGTCTCAATGCATCAAGAAGTATAGAATAGTTGTAGTTAATCTGTAAACAACCCATTTATAAAAAATGAAAAGAAATGCCAATGTAATGAAGTAGTGATACCAGGTGCATTTTACAAAAGAAAAGTGGAAATAAAAAGAACAGTGTACTTAGTATAGGCATAGGGGTGTGGTTTATTCTTTATTAACAATAATCTTGTATTTTAAAAGTCATCATCAATTTAGCTGTAAGTCACTTTTGACTGGTTTGCAAAAATGTTTGTTACTACAATATTATTGACTATATTCCTTATGCTGTAATTTACATCTCCACAACTATTTTGTAACTACTAATTTGTACTTCTTAATCCCTTCAACTTTTTGTTTTCTTTCAGGTAGGATAAAGGAATGTATGACAAAGGTAATAGCTGATTATCCCATCTTTTTGTTTTGTTTTGTTTTAAATCATTTTGGCACCTCTGTTTCCTTAACTGATATGCAAAAATAGAACTCACACCACGGAAAGAATGAATTAAGTATGGTGGTAGGTGTCTGAAAGACATGGACCACTTTTCTGGCAAACAGGCAGTCCATGTTGTATTGGGAGCCTGTGCCATGTATATAGCAAAGCAGTCATGGGTAGTTACTGTGCTTTGGTCATGTTGATACAGGGTGCAGCCAGAGGGGCCCCCCAAAAAAAAGATTTAGAAAGGTGTCCAGAATTCGAAGTATATAGAAATATTGGAGAGACATATAAGATATCCTCACTGCCCCCCGCCCCAGGGGAAAGGGATGAATGGAGCCAGGCCATTGAGAGCTATTTTGCATAGCAACAGTTTTGGAGCTAACCTCTGGAGGAATGGTTATTTAACATATCTATAACCTTTAACTGGTTTCATAGATATGTTAAATAGCAGTGGCCAAGTTTGGAGCCGGGCAGAAGGAAGAAGGGAGTAGAGGGGGACTCAAGAAGGGACTAGCGGGGACTGAGGATGGAACTAGGAGGACTCAGGATGGGAACTAAGGTCTGCTCTCCGGAGTGAGGAGGGCTTGGACTCAGAATGTAACAAGGGGCTGCATTCCTGAGTGAGAGCGCCTAGGTGGGAGCTTGGAAAAGACTGGCTCCAGGACACGAAGGGTCCCCGCTTGGCCAGATGAGAGAGAGCCACGCGGTTTCAGCAGAGTGAGGACCCCCTCTTGGTGAGGTGAAAGAGGGAGCCACGTGGTTTTGGCAGGGTGTGGACCCCCTCTTTCCCAGGTGAAAGGGAAAAACCACGAAGCTTTGCCAGAATGGAGATCCCTGCAGCCAGGTGAAGAAGACAGCCACATGCTTTTGGTGGAGTGCGGACTCCTGCAGCTTTGGTAGAAGAGGCCCACGCAGCTTTGGGGTGCCCCCTTTGGCCGCGTGGCCTGAAAAAGCAAGAGAGACTTTGACTGGAACTGGGTACAAAGGACTCTTGCCAGTGGACCATGAGAGGGTACCACAGTACTTTGGATTAACTCGAGATCCTGCCTGCACGGTGACACAGCTGACGGTGCCAGCGGCCTGCAACACAGACGTGTGCTCTTTTCCTGATTTACGGTACCCAGAGTTGGGACAGTGGGAGAAGGGAGCGCTGTGTGGGTGTAGGTGTATACCCTAAAGGACTTTGATATTTTAGTGGTGGTGTTAGGCCTGAATAGCATTAAATAAACATTTTGTTTCCTTTTCACAAATCTCTGGCATTAAGAGATGTCTTTCCAATTGGCGGGACAGAAGGGCCCAGTAGATTTTAGTATTTTGTTTTTGGGAGGGGCCCCTGTTGTATAGCAGTTTTGGGCATCCCTAGGTGGGCCAAATATTGTATTGCCCCTCCCTCGGACCTCTTGTTGTTCGGTAACAATGTGATCCAAAATTTTTGTATTACTGGCCCTAACAACTGAACCAGGGATTTGTGCTTGACCCCAAAACTAAATATGAGCAAAAATACTGCCCACCTGATGTATTCTACTTTGGAGAGTGATTAACAACTTAATCACATCCTTCCTTTGGCATATCTTGAAATCATGATGAGAAGACAAACTAAAGTGACACAGAATCTGAGAGACACACAGCGAAAAGGCATCATGCAGGAACCTGAGTAGAAGCCAGGACACAACAGTCATGAAAAAGAAGAAGCTATGGGGCAGACAGGAAAGCTTTTTAAAAAATAGGTATACAAGTGATTTATTTATTTATTTTTACTTTTCCCGTTACCATTTAGTCCCCTTATACTCCTCTCCCCTGAGAAATCACCACATTACTGCCCATGCAGAGAGGAAAGTTGTAAGAAGAAAATCAGCTGCGGCAATGGAAGCTAGCAATGAGAAGCAGAGCTGAGTACTCCAACCACAAGTCTGGCTGATTACCAGCCTGATTGATTGGCACCAGAATGCTGGACTCTGACCCACTTTCTGGTTCCCAAGGATTGGCTGGGCAGGGTGAGGCTGTTTCATGTGTTTCTTTACTTTCCATTATAGAATAGACTTACAGTGAAGTGACACCCGTCACTCGAGGTAAAGTAACATGTATGTTCCTTGTCATTTGAAAGAGAGTAACTAAAACATCCAGTGATAATAATGTGCAGAAATCTGTTCACTAGGAAGTTATCAGCATTGGGACAGAAAATTCAAATCTCTACAAAAACTGACTCTGATTTATTATTATAACATTTTAAGTTCTTTTTTTCCCCTGCTTATGAAAGTAAAATTGCACTTATCAAAATGATTTAGAAAACACAGAAAAGCTTGAAGAAAAAAAAAAGTCCCTTATACTTTCCTGTTAAAGACAAAACCATAGACCTGGAATGGCACCATTTGTGCTACAGCCCATGACACCAAACCTAGAGTTAACTTCTGACCTAACTGCCGTTTTGACCTTCACGAGTGATATAATCTCAATGAACCAGTCTGGAATTTTCTGGTCAACACCAGTGAGGTAATCTGTCACATGGATCCTCTCTCTCCTCTCATAGAAAGAAGAGGCAATCTGAATGATAAAACCCTGGCTATGCCTCCCCCCACACTCCCTGCTAAAAGATGTCCTGGTTTAAAAACAATCTTTTCTTTTCTTTTGCTAATAACTCCTCTTCCACATTAAAAAAACCCAACTTTTTAAAAATAAAAGTCTTTCATTTAGTAAAGCCCCTCAGAGTGCCCTTTTAGTTGCTACATGAGATGCTGCCCTATTCACGAATTACTTAATAAAATCATTTAGATGTTCAAATTTAGTCAGTTGAATTTTATTGTTGAACACGGGCAACCAGAGATATTGGGTATGTCCACCCAGCATTTTAAAGCAGGGATAACAGTAGGTTACACTGGAAC